TTTACAACTTTACAAAACATGTTTCTTTAAACATTTGTCTATAAAAGTCCTGATAATTGTGCATTAGCGTTTTTGTTGTGTCAGCCTACCGTCATATTCTTCACATGGGCTATGAAGCGCACAAAAAACAAGATCCTGTAAAATTCATGGCTGACAAAACTGACATCTTGCTCAGGCCTGTTATTGGGCTTATGCCATTTGAAGAGATTAAAAAAAAAAAGTCAGTGAAGGTCTCCAACTTGGTGTGGAAGGGTAGTCGTTACTGCACCATCTTTGGTATTGGGTTTGTCTTTGCCCTTCATGAAAAAGGTAAGCAGCTCGCCTTTCCCTTTGACATATATGGGCCCTCTTCGGATAAAACGAAAGCCGTAATCCTTCAGGATGTCATAGCAGTCCTCTACAACCTGAGGTCCAAGTAGAACATAACATTTAGAAGAGATGGACACAATAAAAAGGATGCTTAAATTTGCTGCATCTTTGGTTTTGGGAGCGTTTGGTTGTGCTACCTGAATGTTTCCCATCACTCCAGTTGACTCCATTCTGCTCGCCACGTTGACCGTGTTGCCCCAGATGTCATAGTGAGGTTTACGAGCTCCGATCACTCCGGCCAGAACTGCTCCTTTATTTAGACCTTAAGGGATCAAAAAGGAGACATGAACACATGTGCACATTTGCAGTTGGACACTCAGACTCACTCTCAGGTGCAAACACTGACCGATTCGTAGCATAAAGTTGTTGAAGGACTGCTTGTTGAGGTTGTTGAGGGTGACTTTCATGGCCAAGGCAAAGTCTGCCAGGTCGGCGAGGTGCTGCCAGCGCTCAATCAGCAACTGGTCCTCTGGCTGTAGACAACCAGTTAATAGCTCTTATAATTATTAGAATAATCAGTTTAGATAAAAAGCTTCAACAGATTGATATTGACATCTAATGCTGATAGATTATCACACCTTGCGGTTGCCATATCCATTTGTGTTGCTTTCCGGTGTGAGGCCTGACGCGGCCATGTAGGTGCTTCCAATCGTCTTGATCTTAGTAATGCACCTGAACTCGTCCCGGTCTAATAACTGGTGGGGAAAGTGGACACTGATTAGTTTTACTTCCTGGTGTTACATTCATGCTTTGAGGTCACGTTAAGTTTAGTGTACGTTTAGTGTGCAACATTGGCAGAACTCACGCTGTCAAAGTCGGAGATGATCTCATTGAGAATCCTCAGACACTCAATGCCCCCGTTATTGATGCTCTCCTCAGTGTAGAAATCAGAAAAATTGGGGATGGATGCAAACATTACCCCTATTTCATCATACCCCTGGCTGTACAGCTCCTACACAAAACAAATGACTTGTTGGGTCATAAAAAACAGTTTTTAAGCTTATTGCCACTAATATGTAATTATAAGATAGGCCACAAGATGGCACAGAACAGCATCACCTGCGGTACCTTCATTACTTTAAGCTGCTTTTGAACAACTCTTTCTGCTGCTCACATAGAAGGTGTAAGCTCAAATGGTTTTAAATCGCAAAATGCTGTTTAATATGGCTTCTCCTCCATTCTCACTCATGTTGTTTTCTCTCACTGACTCCTATGGTAACAAACTCAACATATATACCTCGTCTCTTTTTTTAGTGCCCAGAAAGTGTTTTGCCACATGCTCTGGCAGCATGTTGGTGACCAACGCTTCATTCCAGCGTCTCATTTCAAAGACTCTCTCTTTCTGATCGTGCACGCCAATCTTCCACAGAAATAGTTTCCTGGACTGTTGCTCCAGCTGCACACAGAGACGCAACACAGACAGAATTAATGAAATATTTTGAGAGAAACCTATTATGGAAAAATTAGAATTTTGTTGAACAACATTTTCTTGTTCTAACCCTCCGGGTGTTACATAGATGTGACACTCACGTGGCGTGCAAAGAAGTAAAAGCCAATCATCATAACAATAATCATCACTGTCATGAGGTACTTGGATGGCACTATCAATGTTCTGAAAATACAAAAGTGGGATACCATTAGCGACAATACTGTCATTAACAGTGCTGAAAAAAAGTAATTGGCCCCTTAACCCTTAACTGGTTGTGCCACCCTTGGCAACAAGAACCTCAATCAAGCATTTGCAATAATTGGCAAAGAATCTTTCACATCCATGTAGTGAAATTTTGATCCAGTCTTCTTTGCACACTTGTTTTAATTCAGCTACACTGGAGGGTTTTCAAGCATGAACGGCCTGTGTAAGGTCACGCCAAAGCATCTTAAGACGATTTATGTCTGGACTTTGTCTAGGCCACTCCAAAACCTTCATCTTTCTTTCTTTGAGCCATTCAAAGGTGGATCTGCTGGTGTTTCAGATCATTGTTCTGCTGCATAACCCAAGTGTGCTTGAGCTTCATGGCAGGAATTCATGGTCAGACTTCAGGATTTTCTGGTAAAGAGCAGAATTCATGGTTCCATCAGTTACAGCAAGCGGTCCAGGTCCTGAAGCAGCAAAGCAGCCCTGGACCATCACGCTACCACCACCATGTTTGGTGGTGGTATGATGTTCTTTTTACGAAAAGTTGTGTTAGTTTATACCAGATGGAACAGGACTCAAACGTTCCAAAAAATGAAACTTTTGTCTCGTCAGTCCACAGAATATTTTCCCAAAAGTCTTGGAGATCATCAAGATGTTTTTTGGAAACTATGAGATGTTCTTTATGTTCTTTTTGGGTTATTATTACTCAAGTTAGCATTGTCTAATAACTATTCAAATTTGTTTGATCATATGAACTATGTAAGTATGACAAATCTGGAACAACCTAAAAAAAACAATAAGGAGTCAACTACTTTTTCACAGCACTGTAGACACAGCAGCAAATCCAACCTAAAGCAAAACACCCAGAATAACCTAAAAGAGACATCTATCGATGATTAGTCATTTCTCACCTGTAGGAGGCAAACTGCATGTAATCATACAGATCATATAGGTCCCGCCAGCTGTAGATATTAACGGCTCCAGTTGCTGTGACAACCAGCACCATGAGGCCTAGTTTAATCAGGTGGCTCACTTGCACCAACATGGTTGTTGCAATGAGTGACATCACAGCCATGAAGCTGTAGTGCTTCGGATTATCTGCGCAGCCTCCGTCACCGAGCGACTCCAACATCGGACCAGACGTGCTGTTGAAGATCCGAAGGGATGGAGGTGCACAACTTAACTGCAACACAACGAAAAGAAAAAAAATCCACTCACTCTAACTGGCAGAAAAATTAGCAACTTCATGTTTTCAGCTAAAACTTGTGCCTATGTTGAGAATAACCCGAATACGACAACAGCAGTAGTAAAACATGCTCCGTTATTTTATCTTTTTTCTTCATTTTCTTCAAAGGGCGACTGTCACTTCTACATGACAGCGTAACAGAGAAATGAACGCTCTCTTTAGCATCCGCTATTCTCTTCAGCCCACAAAGGCAGCAGCGTGTGTAGCAAGTTGCTCCTATGGGGCTGTGACAAATGAGCCAGCAGGCAGCAAGACAGACAACTAATAGACCCCACTGGGATCACACTGTCAGACACATAAAAGGCAGCGATAGTCTGATGAAGACAAAGTGGGAACACACTTATGGAAAGTCGAATGCACACACACTCAGATTGGGAGCTATGATGTTGTACATTAATCCCAACTGGAATTTCCTGGAAACTGATTGTATGTATTTTCCCGTTATGACATTAAGTTATATAACGAAAATACAAAAAAGTTTATCCACGATTACGGACATGCACACATGCAGTTTTACCAAGTTTCTTGAAGTCGTACCATGTCAGCGATCACAGCCATGGTTAGAACAAATATGCTTGCCATGGCCCACGTGTTTCTCGCCCATCGGGTGCGATCAATCCACATTGAGAAAGATACCAACCTCTTGGAGAACATCTGTGATAAGAAAATGTTAAAAAGGTAGCCATCTTTTATATAGTGTAGTGTAAACTGTAGAACTTTCATTCTGTCCTGTGCGACAATAAAATCAGTACTGCTTTGAGAAAAATTCCTTATCAATTGTAAAAACCAATCAAAATGCTAAATATCACTTAGCTAAAGCCCTGCGAGAATACGTTTTTTTACAGGACTGAATTCAGTGCTCTGAAAAGCTAAGTACACCCTTACTGCTTCCATAGGAATTAAGACCTTAAGAAGCAGCAAAGTGCTGCTGATCAAATGCATGCACATGATTAGCAAGTGTGGGCACCTATATAAAAGCAGAGGTTTCGTCAGCTTGCTGATTTGGAGCATTCAGGTGTGTGTTAACACAATGGCACAATCTTTCCAGTAGTGGACATCCCAGCAAATTCACCCCAAGGTTAGACTGTGCAATTCTCAGAAAACTGCAAAAAACATCAACAAAAAACCAGGAGCTACATCTCAGACTCTACAGATCTCAGTTAGCATGTTAAATGTTAAAGTTCATGAGAGAACATTTAGAAATAGACTGAACAAGTAGATCTTATTTGGAAGGGTTGCCAGCAAAAAGCCTCTTCTCTAGTTGCAACTTAAAAAAACACAAAACTTCTGGAACAACATCCTTTGGACTTTTGGACATCGATATGGAGATGTACAGCTGTAATGCACAAGACTGTATTTGGCAAAAACCAAGCACAATATATCAGCATAAACACCCCAACTGTCAACCACAGTGGTGGAGG